TCTCTCTCTCTCTCTCTCACCCCCTTCATCTCTTTCTTTCACTCGATTTATATAAATACATATATCCCCCCTCCTCTCTCTCTCACCCCCTTCCTCTCTATCTCTTGCTCTATTTATATAATGCATAAATATCTCCCCCCCCCCTTGCTCTCTCTCTCTCTCTCTCTCTCTCTGCCCTCATCTCTTTCTTTTTTCAACTCTAATAAGTCAGTATGCAGCTCTTATTTTACTCAACCCATCAATGCATCACAAATCAATAACAAAACATTCTCAAATGTTTTTTTTTTCATGAAAAAGCTAAGATGACTTTATTATTACAATCTTGTATTACTACTGCTTCCACCAAATTATTTTTTATCCCTCTTTATTGAAGAACTTTATGCAATAATACAAAAGGGAAATATACAAGAATAGAATTATTTTGATGCTTGTTATTGTTTAAACTCATATATCAATCCATCAAAATGAGGCATATGATAATAATATCCAAATCACCATGTTTACAATTTTTTCTTTTTACAGTTCCACTCCAGAATCTTATATCGTTCTATAGCTACCTTTTATTAGAAATTGGAAACAAAATATTTTCTCTTTTATCTATCACCTTCGGCCTTTTAACAAGCCTGTACATTTTCATGTAATTTCCAAATTCTTGCTAAACACAGTCAACATAAGATATATCTATATATATGTGCACTACAATATATTGCTTTCTAAATTTTCACCACAAGAAATATATTACAATGGATGGGGGAAAGAACAACATACACAAAGGCACAACGTTGAAACCAGATTTTTATCCTGATTTCTATTCAAAAGTTGCATAGCTTCAGATCACAAACATCACACCGCTATTAAAGTTAAGATATATAAATATATATATAACAATAATAGTGATAAGGCCTTGTTTTCACAACACAGACAATGAAAAGAAAAATCAAAGTTTCAGTGTAAATATGACGAAATAAATACATTCAAAATGCTTTTTCACTACTATACAAAGGTGGGTTAAATAGATGAATATCGCTTCATTATTGTGAAGTTGATGTGAGACAAAGATCAATATCAAATACAGAATGTGACATGTATTGGTGAAAAGTTGAGAACATGCTAAGTTTATGTACATTACTGGCGTGAAATGGCCTACCATTCGTAATATTTACAGGAAAGTCTATTCAATGGTCTAAGAGCGGATGAGGTTTTGAATACCATTCAAATTAAAATTCATATAAAACGTTTCAAATTTGTTCTCTCTCTGCTTCCAAACTAAATAAAATTGTTCTGTATACACTTATCTCCTATATGCAGTGTCATAAACCTTGAGAGAAAAAAAAATAAGTAGATTTGCAGATATGAATGATTATTACCCATTTGCTCTGTACTAGGAAGACTGAAACAAAGACGAAATCTTTGCATTGTTTTCACATACCAGTTACTGTTTGTATTTTTCATACACATTTAAAAACTGTCCATGATGTACATGTACAAATAAATGATAAGGCTGTATCGAGATACTATGCTACTCATAGATCAAAAAGACAAATTCAAAGAGAAAACAACCCCTTATTCACATGATATATAAAAAAGGAACACCTTGGTCAATAAAAGCTTGCAGTAGTTTATCTCGTAAATGTACAAGTACCTTTGATTAACAAATAATTTGATTTGAAAATAGGGTACTCAATTCCCTTTACGTAGAGATTGAAAATATCACACCTTATACTATGTACAGCATGCTTGCTACGAAAAACGCCTCCGCAAAAGAATTCATTATCATATCATGTGCAAAAATAAATACTATAGTTCTCTTTTCAAATCACGTCAATACATTTTGATTCACCAATGGTTTTCGATTGTTCATTGTGTCTCTTTCTTAAATAGAAAATGATTATGCATAAAGTCTACATGCAAACAAATCTGTACAATTTGGCATTTTTGGAGGTCAGTATTTGACCTCGTAATGATATACAGGATCCCCTTAAAGACCCAGCACAACTTGTGACAGACACTTACCGACTCCTAAAATATTTAAAAACCACTCTCTGGTTGTTTTTTCTTCTCTTTTATGTAACTTTGCAAAAATACACTGTATGACCACAAGTTAATTTGCCTTATTTAAAGCTCAAAACAACCCTACAGTTTATTTGAGGGCCTCTCTATATGTATCTTGACAAACTCACACAAAGCACAAAAATACGTACTTTTATGTTTTAACTTTAAAGGGTATTTCAAGGGACCCATGCATGCAGAGTTGCATGGTCAACAAACTCTTTACAGGTTGATGACATCATCACTGATGCATTATGGATGCAGTTCCGGAGCACATTACAGAGTACATGCATGAGAGAGGACACTATTAGTGTTACCACTTTTGTTTTCAATTTTCATGAAATTTCAGTGTAAGCAGACGATTCTTGCATTATCGCTTCAACCAAAACCAAGACAGTACCACAGCGGTGATAAATCTTGTCCATTTACATCACAAATATTAACCAAAACTGATTTCTCCGGATGTAAAATATTTCAAAATATTCCCAGCAAAAAAATTGAGGTATTCTTGCATAAATGCATGCAGTTATGGGTAAAATTGTAATTTTGCATACATGAAGTGTAACTTCCAATATGAGATGTTGAATTGCATTTAAAATTCAATCCACAATTCAAAATAGACATGAATCTTTGTTAGGCACTGGAGATTGGACAAATCAATCACCTTAATCGCACTTTGTGATGTATTTGTGACACTGTTTTGAATACAGAAATTGGACCTCATTTGGCAAAATGTTTTCTCACAAAAATAAAGTCGCTTAACAATACCTGAACTTGAAGAGGTAAATATTTCCTTCACTATTCATGGGAGAAATCCAAACTGTTATCAAGTTGGTTTTAAAGAGAGTGTGTTCAGAAACTTGAATTGAAACTTTTGTATGATCTCATTTACAGTAATACAGTTGTCATGAAATGTCAAATGGACTTAAGTACAGATTCTCTCGAGTTTACTTGGAGATGACAGACTTGATTAAAAGTATATTGAATACACATTACACATGCATAGACAAAGAAATTCTTGCTGTTAAAACAACAGATCGCTTAAGTTTAAAACATAATACATTTTCGTATACTGAAGAAAAAACATGCTGAAACGTTACTGTACAAATCAGAAAACTGGCAAAAAACAGCATTTACTGGTACCATCATTGGCTACTGCATGAGAACAAGAAAGGTGTAACTCCACAATAAAATGTAAAATTGATTAAGGCCATTCTGGCTTTGAACAGAAAATACATTATATTACATTTAGACGGAAATACATGAATACAAAGAGATAACATGAAAATTCCACTGGATAAAAAACACAATGCACTGACACAAAGTTTGATTCAATGTAGTTTGTGATAAAAGTACGACCCAGTACTGAGGAGTTAATATGTACGGTGTGAATAAGTAGCAATGCACGGAATAACTGCAACACAGATAAATACACTTTTTTGCGTAAATTAATGTTTTAGATTTTCCCATAATGTATTTATGGTAATTAAATCAACAATTCTCGATCAGGCAGTTTTCTCAGATGCATTTGATAACAAAATGGAAGAACAATGTTTTGCTTGATAAAAGGAAATGTCATGTACTGTGTGAATACTTTGAATTGAATTAATCATTGAATAATTCGATGCAGTGTTTGAATAGTGTGGTGATTACTTAATCATGAGGGGGAAAAACCTTTTACAGAACATTTCTCTTGATAATTTGGCCATTGAAATATACCAAATACCTCAATATATCCAGTTACATTTTCAGACAATAACCCAAAATCTGTTGCGATTTGTTAGAAATAATGGGGGAAGCTGAAGAAAAGATAATAAATAATTTATCGCCCTTCTTCTGGTTCCAAATTGGACAATTTGAGACACTAATGTGAGGTCAAAGATCTTTTAAGCATCAAAAGAAAAAGAGAATTATTCCTAAACGGAAACGTGATATTAATGAGAAAATCAAATGGAAATAATACAAATCATCCCTTAAAATTAACAAAATGTAAAATATAAAATCACTAAAAACCATTTTGAATACAGTTTGCTGGTTTTTATACACAGATAAATCTCCAGGCTATGCTGGTTATGTTGATTTTCTTGTGTTAGTTAGTACTGCTCTCCTCTCACGTAAACAAAATCAAACTCCTTCTCTCACTTTCTCTCTCTTTCTCTCTCTCTCTCTCTCCATCTCTCTTTCTCTTTCTTTACTTCTCTCTTTCTCACAATCTCTTACTCAAAAAGAAGCCATTTCTGCTTAAATCATGTATTAATCAGCACAGCAATGGGCATTGTGAATAAACAAAATCATAACAAATCTGAGCTACATTTCGTCCTTGTTTTCACGAAGTGACGGTAGTGAGGAAAATCGTCACGCAAAGTGAATGCAATTTTTTTTCACTACCGTCACTTCGTGAAAACAGCGACGATTTGTGGATATACATGTAGCCCAATCGCACATGTATCTTCCACAACTATCTAAACAAAATGTTTTGAGGATCTGCAAAAATGATTCAATCTTTTGAGGTCATTGATTGAATATATAGTAGCACCTTCCTTGCAAATATATTTACAATTACATAAATACCTTGTCATTTTTAGTAAAGTAATTTAAAAATGAATTTCACCATCCACAAAACTTTCAACATGAGTATAAAGTATGAAATATGTGTAGTGCAATAGTTTAAAGGGAGAGATCAAACCATAATACCAAAGATGCTACATGTAAATCTTCACCTACATCAAAGTATTTTGTCATTATTAATGATCATACAGCGTTTGCTTTAGATGTACCCATCAAGCGAGAAATAATGGGCGTTAGGAACTTGGAAAGGGACAGTGAAAGTACTATGAAATAGGATATTTCCTGATTAGTTTGGACATCTGAATATATACGTTCTTCGTTGAAAACTGCCAGTACTGACGATGACTTTACAATTACGACATACACACTATAATTGACACACATGTATAATTTACAAGATGACCACAAACACGTAGTACTGCTACAAACAGCCCATATGAAATGCTTTCTCTCTGAACGAGCCAGAAACATGAATACAAAGAGCTTTCAAAACCATGAATAGATGCTTCAGAGCAATTCTTTTGCCATGTTCATAAAATAAGGCAGGCTGTTTGTTGGCTTTAAAAGTGGATTAAATATAAACATAAACCTAGTAGGCACTGTACTGTATAATCGAGAATACATCTATACTTGAATACCTGTAGTCTTCCGTACATAAGGCAGCAATTTTCAAATGAGACCACATATTTTTCTTAACCTACAGCTGTCTTGCAAAAGCTGCCAAGTTGAATACACTTTTATTTTGATACAATACAAACATCTTTGGTTGGACTTATACACAAAAAAGGCACTAAGTTTTCTGGATAGTGTAGGATAACTCCATAAACACCTGATCAAATATCGACTGTTAAGAGCCAGAAAGACATTAACCCAAGAGATAATGCCCTCTTGGCTCCGAGCAGACTATATTGTTATCACTGGTATGTACTGTTTGATCAAAGGCACTATTTGTATGCAAAAGCAATAAAGGCAATAATCCTCATTGCAGGCAGAGTTGGTTGGTATATACTGATCACATGATCAAGATGATGGCAATGCATTGTGGGAGCAGTTACGGACCAGAATACGCACAGTAGTACAATAGATAGAGGGCCAAGGCAGTGCAGTCTAACCAACGGAAAATTCCTAGGGTGAATTATATAAAAGCAACTTCCTCTACAAGATGCCTCAAGCCTAGAAATGGCCCTGCATAATTTAGTATGGTAATCCACATAATGATGTACAATTATATGTTGTTAGAGGATTATTACAATTGGTTAAGTATGATGCATATATTTGAATACATTAGTAGCCATCCCTAATTATCCCCAGCTGGCATTCCCCATTTGCAAGGTGTGTTTACATGCAGGCCACTGTGCACATCACAATGACATACTGCATCAACACATCTCATCTCGTTCTGCTGGAGTATTTCAGCTGATATCTTGCGGATGTCCAATACTATGAAACTGCAGCTACACCCTTCTTTGCGAGATGACCTTGGAATCACAAGCATATATCACAGGCCTAGCGTTGTACCGCTATGCCACCTGATGAGTGCAAACATCATATCTCTCCTGTTATGCAGTGACTAACTCGCTTGCAAACCTTTTCCTCGCAGTTTCGAAAAGTATTGAAGACCTTCACCATACTAGATTTAAACAGTTGTAGCTCTTCTTGTACATGTAGGTTAGATGTAACAACATAATACATAGGGTGTCGATTTGGGGATTTGGATGTTTGAAGGAAAATGAAGTGAGGCAAATAGCCAAGTTATACTTTTAGACAATTCTATACATTTAGACAACATTTTTTTGGGGGGGATAAAGCCCGACAAGAATCACTCTGAGGAGATGTATATCAATCGATCCCCTCTCGGGTCGCCATCAAAATATCTGTGTGTCATCACATCAATTTGACATCATGAAGAGGAGGTTGCTGTGTTCATTGCCATTACAACCATCAACAGAGTACTGATGTCGTCTCCCACGTCTGTGCCATTCAGTCAAGGGGTCCGGTTGATCATGTCCGTTTCATCATGCATTCTTCAAGGAAAACATCGTGCGCATGCATGGGATGAGTTCCCGACCACTAGCCCAAGTCCTTTAAAATTTTTTACTGTTACTGGATCTTGAAAGGCTACATCAAGACGACTGACCCATGACTCATGACCTTTGACCCTTTCCATAATCCAGTCCACCTGCAATCAAACCCGCATCATTCAGAGCTGCATCCAGTATCATACATGTATCTCTAGCACGGCTTGTTGGCTGCAGATGTCTCCCAAGTCTTGTGGCCCAGCAACGAGAAAGGCCGGTTCGGTTGCAGGACAAAGGTCTGTAATAGTGGATAGTGGCCCTATAACCAGGTAAGAAAATTGTTGACATCGCCGACGTCGCCCACATCACTAAGGATATCAGAGTCGAGGGCCTCGGGGAGGGACGGGACGAGGTCGTCACTGTCCATGGAGGTGACTGCCGTGCCGCTGTCAGACGGGTCCATGGTGTCCATCGAGGCCATGTCCACGTTGGTGCTAGGGAGGGTCTCCAAGAAGTCCCCCATACTGGCCAGGGGCGGAAGAGGGCGTGGCGCTTGCTTGTCTAACGGCTTGCGGTCTGTAGGGGGCGCTGTAAGAGATGCAAGAATTAAACAAAATAGATGATTTATAACTGCTAATAAACTAAGACGAGACCGGGGACATTGGGAAAAGTATCACAAGGGCATGGATGAAATAGAAAAAAAGAGAGGGCTTGCGGTCTGTAGGGGGTGTTGTAATAGATGCAAGAATTGAACGAAATAGATGATTTATACCTACTAATAAACTACTTGTGTGTTTAAAGGGGGGGGGGGGATAGATGAGATCGAGACATTGGGAATAGTATCACAAGGGCATGGATGAAAAGGAAAAAAGAAAGGACTTGGTCATAACCTGACCCGATGATATTACTTCTATCTCTACATCAAAAGTTTAACTACAAAATTATTAGTTTTTTTTTAAACTTTCGACCTGGACCCAACAGTATACCTATACTTTCTAATACTAATCCTAAACCTAAACCCGATCACAAACCTTATATTAACCGGATGGCCAGTATCCAGCTAAAATGTACAGCTGCTGCTGGGTTTAAGCTTTGTCTTAAGTCAGACTGAACAAAGGTCTAAGCATTCTCAGTGTTCAACATAACCTAGTCTCGGTGTTAGGTTTGAATTGTGTTAGGTTTGAATTGAATAGGTACTGGTCAAAGACCATGAGCTCTGTGACCAAGGTTTGACCATGTTCAAACATGAATTACCAAAAAATGTGCACTCAGTGGCATTTCATTCTTGACCATGGAACTAACACCATAATCTACCATGGTAGCTCATGATTAAATTTGCCTGGGAAATATCCAGTCTTTACTTTAACAACATAAAGCCTAGAGCAAATGTGACCTGAGCCAAAGTTGGATCACCTGCAGCAGTAAGTAGTGGCAAATTTAGCCAATGTGGAGAGCCTCTAGACAGAATTTTTAAATTCCTTTAGGTGATCCTCAGGCATTGGCTGGTGCTTAATATCATTATGTTAATGTTATATCATTTTTTCAACCTTGTGATGTTTTGTATGTTATCATCTTGCCTGTAAATAAAAATAAATGAATAAATAAATGTAGATAAAATGCCTAGCTCAAGGACATGAGCACCGTTACTCACCTTCAGACGAGTCCATGTCTTCCAGGGTGTTCAAGAGATCTTCTGGCGTCCTGGGGTGGCTGACGTTGCTGAGACCACACCCACTGTCACCGCTCTCCTCTCGCCGGTGGAAGTTGGTGGTGTTACTACTGCTCAGGAAGGGGTCAGTTCCTCCGGTGATGGAGTCGTTGTTATTGTTGTTAGGCAGAGAGTCCCGCAGCTCACGTCGCAGAGCTAGCTCCTGCATGGTGGAGGGAAGAAAGAGATAAAGAGAAAGGGGGGAAGAAGAGTAAGGTAACTGGATTTGCCTCATCATACATGGACATATATGTGTAGATAAGTTAGGAGCCCCAGCTGATAGGACTTTACATGACTGAAAGATTTTCTAAGTATACTTTGTTCAAGATATATTGTAAAACAGCATCTGAGGAACTAATACTTCAACAAGCTCTGCTTCTAGTTAGTTCCTCTTTTCTTGTGCTATTACTACTGTATTATATTTGTCGTTTCATTGTATATTTTTTGTAATATATTTATTCATTGTATTATGTTTTGCATGAGAAATAAAATCATTTGAATCAAGAACAGCCTCGCATAACAACTTTCAAGGTGAAAAGAATTTTACAATAACCATTTATGCACATGTTTACAAACTGGCCCGTGATTCTCTCTCCTTCTTTTTTGATCCAGAAATTCTGGTTCACTACAGTACCAAACCTCTCCTTGTAGAGGATGTACATGTATATGTTCTTGTCCCTGGGTACAAACATGTAATTCAATTATAGAAAATAGTCAGGTAAAAGATGGGCAAATTACACTAAGGATATTCAGATTGTTCTGCCTGTAATAACATGACATGAAAACAATCATTGGTGCTTGTGAAAAGTTCCTTTCGCACAAAGGACAAATCAATTTTTCATTGATTGTGTAGAAAATGATAGATGTGTCTCGCAAGTAACATACATATACATATGAATCTCCAAAGTGGATAGGTATACAGATGAAAAAGAAAGATATCATAGATTTGAATATCATTTGCCCCTGGGAACAAGGTAATATCAGAATACAAACAAACTTTTTTTACAAAGAGCAATGCATCCCATTTGCGCATGAATAGACTATTCTAAGCAAAGATTGTACTATCAAATTAAGAGTCAACTTTGATTTGTTTTACCTGTAACATGTTTTGTTTTTATTTGTTGGTTTAATTATTTTCATAGAAACACATGTATAAGTATTTTACACAAATATAAATGAGGTGGGAAAAGTATATATCTGCATGTATAATAAAGGCAACTTTCTAAAAACTAATTGCCGCAGATTTTCCTTAGGATGCTACATGTACTCATCAAAATGTTTTGAATGAATATCATAGACCTACATGTACGTGTAAATGTGTTTACATGAAAGCCTTTAACTTCAAACTAGACTATACCAGATTTCTCTCTTTCTAAACAATGAAGCAGATAGTTAGAGGGTTAGGGGTACTGTTGACAAAGGGTCCTGAAAGCCGACTTGCCATGCTGACAGATCATCACCATAAGAGGGCTGCAAGCCTCTCTCCCTACTGTGAGATGAACTACTTTAGAAACACACAGACCCAGCGGTACAGCCCCGGTCAAGGAGAAAAAGACTTAGGGTGGATAATGAGCCGTCTTGGAGGAGCAGAGGAGGGCAATCTAGCTAGTGGGTCAGTCAGGGATCTAGGTCATTGCATCTGAGCTGATAAGTTTTCTCTTTGTTTATTGGCCCTTTAAAAGACTTCAATATTACGATAATTGGTGATTGCATGTGGTCTTGACTCTTGAAAGTTTTCTCTGTATTTTGTTGGTACTTTAAAGTTATCAATATAGTAATTTTAGACATGGAAGGGTTCTAACTAGGTCTGTATTACATGTTACAAATTAATGCCCTTTTGTTGAGCTGGTGCTTGGGGGAACTATCATATATAAAAAATTGTGTTTCATAATGTAGAATGGAATTGCAACCCCCCCCCCCCCCCCACCCATGAAACTTACTGGCCTCATTCTAAACCATTTGTACGTGTTTACAACTAGGCCACCTCAGCATATTAGCCTATATCATCATGATCAGAATTACTATTATTCTTATTGATCCATTCCCATTATAATTAACAGTCCATCCCAAATAATATCCATTGGGCCATGATAAAAGTAAACAGACATAGACAATGAGTTGCCTGGTAAGTGATATGCATAACATAAAGGTTCAATACATGCATCATCATCACCATCACCATTATCATTACTGTCTTCACAGAGTATGAGTTAGGCATATAGTTACTATGTTTGTGTATAACAACTTTTCATTATGTATTGTTCTTTAATTTGTATTTACATTGGTTCACTCAATATACATTTGTTAATGTCTCAAACTTTGAATTTGGTACAGCTATATTATTTAAACCAGAGACATGTATTTTAGACCTTTAGAAAAGTCTGAACTACAGCTATGGGCTAGACACGATACAGAATAAACACAGGAGTCCTGACGAGCTAAGCTCAGAGATTGGGTTAGCAGAGAGATGCCAAATAAAGCTTGACAGTACATCTTGACTGATGACCTCATGAAAAGCATCAACTAGACTTGATGGACAGACCCTTCAAGTGTGTTACTCCTCGATAAGCACATGCAGAGCATAGGCAGGCCTATAATGACTTCACACCACAACTAGAAAATAAATCTAAAGTACATAACTTAGCACATAGGAGCACAGCACTTAGGAGCACTAACAATCAAAAGCCTACGCATAAAAACTTCAATACAACCTCAACCTCCAAACAGCACATGACAAGGTTAGGGCATTACCAAGCAGGCATACAAATAAAAATACAATATAATCCACTAAAACAACATAACTTTCAAAGCATATAAAATGTAAAATTATATTTGCCAACAAGGCCTATATCGAGATGTTCAAATAAATATACTCCACCACCAGAAAATAACCTCTAAAGCACATAAATGGTTGTTCAAACCAGGCCTATATATGAATAAATATAAAATTGATACCAGCAGAATCCAGAAACTCTGACCTTCGAAGTGCATAAAAAGTATATTATCTAACAGACCTAAAAGTAAATTTTCAATATGTATTAAATCCACAGTATACACTTTTCGATCGTTAGGTTACTCGGGTTAAGTACAGTTTGCTTTTATTGATACCACGGTATCTGATTTTCAGTCAATGTTGATCTTCTGATTATTCCTTTGTTTATTGACATGTTCTTAAGACCAGGGTGGTCTTGTTATCTCAGAAGTTTCTATGCTATCAAAACTCACAATCAACCCCTCAAAAAATAAAAAATAAAATTGATGCTCCAATGTTCAATTTAGTTGTGCATGTGGGCGGGGGCAATGAATCATGTGACTAGTCTACCGTCTGTTCAGATCCAGAAGGGGGCCATATCTCTGTGTTTAAGTATAGAGTGGTGAAGTGTGACGTCATCAAAAATCTATTCTAAAAATATATTTATGACGTCGCAGCTTCGGTACTCTATAGAGTTAAAGCCCTTCTGGCTCCAAAGAAATTATATAATAAGTAAAAATAGTTTCAAGATTCCAAAGTTTTAAATTTATAGCAACATCCACTTTATATCCACAATTGAAATTATTGTCCCCGCAATATTTGTTTCATCACGTACTAGTCAAAAACGTATTCTTTCACATGATTGGTACGTAATAAGAGCTTCCATTTCATTTTTTGAGAGGGGGCGTTTCCAAAACTGGTCTATACCTTTAAACATGGTTTAACTTTATGCAGCTTTTGAGATCACAGCCAGAGAAAAGATCATCAAAAAAAAAAAAGACAATACAGCACTATTGGAAGAACAAGTTCCCTGGGAGCTAGGAGCTGGGACTGGAGACTAATCTTTTGGGTAGACTGACAGGGAGGCCAAAAGAAAAACATCTTGGATTACTCCGCCTCCTCATTGGAGAGGGTCATGGCCCTTGTGCAGCTATAATCAGCACCAATACGTCTCCCTTTCTCCTCCGCTCCTAGAGAAGGCAGGCGATCGACGTATGATTACATGGAAAAGTTTGTTCGTAACTTGCCATGATGAGTATTAAAGCCCTTAGCGAAAGATGGTCATGGTTAAGCTAGTGTGTTAGAAGTACGCTCCTGTGTTCCTGTGCAATGGTATCAAAGTATTGCCCTAGTTTCATTTTTTTGGTCTTTCCCCGAAAATGAGCATCGAATTGAAGACATCACTTTGTGAATTACACACAGAATCTTTGTGTATGACTTATCAACTCTTCTCATGTCACATGTAGTTTATGAACAGCAAGATACAGGCATAATTCTAGACCATTTCACAAATTTCTACAATCGATTACTAAGATTGAGAGATTTAAACAAATTCATGTAGATCTGCCCCTCCTCCCCCCCCCCCCATCCTTCCTACTTGCGGTTTGTGTTCTCTACCTCTCTCAGCTTGTCCGAACCATCCCATGAGGATTTCCATCCACTTCCATCATATATATTTGAAACTGTTACACACAAATGCGAATGCTGACATTTCAATCAACCTTCCGCGAAATCCACAATTTGACTTGAATCTTACGACTCGTCAAAGAGGTAGGGGGTATTTTGGGGGTGTAGCAAGTTCGGAAATAGCCATTCTCCTCTCGTGGGAATCACAAGGTATGTTCTCATGTGTATGTGAGGCCATCAGCTTGAGCATAGAAGTACCTCATTCACATACACCCCACAGCTGCCCCGGCCAAGAAAGCAACAAACAATTCTATTCCAAGCAATCCCAAAATACATCATGATCTTCTCCCACGTTCAAACCAATAGAATTCATTGTACAGCTTAATGATGCATGTAACTTCTATTCTATTTCTATTCTGGACGTTGTATGAAGGAACGTTGTATAACGAGATACATATTATTAGCATCGTTTCAAAACGAAAAGTAAATGAAATTAATGAATGAGGATTGTCAAAACAAATTTGATAGAAATATCATTAACTTTTATTTGTTCTCCTAAGTGACTTCTCCCTTGGGGTACAACTCAAACTATCTTGGAAAATTGGAAAGTTGTCTGGTGCTACATCACATTGACATTTACTGATTCAGCCAGGTTGAAGTGCCCATATGAATAGTGCTCACATTTAACAACTTCCTAAATTACAACACTTTTTTTGTTTTTTTTGTTGTTGATTTCATTCAAACTTTCACCAGTCTGCTTCTCTGATTTCTCCCTTCTTTTAAGG